TTGATTTACAAATAAGGAATCCTACTTCGCGGAATTTCATTTATCACGGTAGGGTCTAGAACCGATTAACCGCGATAAACGAGGGTTCACTGTAACCAAATACTGCTGAGCATAAAGGGGCACAGCAGGCAGATGTTTTTATCACTTCCAATCCTGAGATACTGACAGTAAGATAGTAATTACAACAGAGAATTACCGTTCAAAGAGAAGAGCTACAATATGCAATGCCCACTTCTTACACTTCCACCATACAAGTTCTGGTCTATCATCCTCATCAATCTGCAGAGTCTCCTAAGGGGACAAAATGCCCACAGGCAATGTCTACATAAACAAGGAGTTATGTGAACAATAAAGACAGAATAAGTACCGGTATGGATAACTCATCTTAAATGAAAACTTACATGGCCATACAATTACAACTTTTATAGTTTACTACTTAAGAATTAAATAAGCAGAGAACATTTCCATTCGAAAATGCTGTTCATCACCTTTATCTCCTATCTTCAAAAGGTCCTTTAAACACAAAGCACCATGTGTCCCACAAGGAAACTCTCTGGGGTGACAGAAGGTTCTGTATGTTAGCTGAGCAATGGTAACATAAGTGTATGTGTTTGTAGAAACACACTGAACTGTTTATTCAGTGTGTTATATAAATCAACCTCAATATAATTTTCCCCAAGATGGGGACAAAGGAAAGGATACTGAGCATTTTTAAAAGATCTTAGATTTTAAATTATGCAAAAGTTGACTTGGTAGGTGATAGACAGTATCATTACTACAGGTTACAATGAGACACCATCTTTTATTTCTCATGCTGGCAAACTTAGAATTAAGCTATTAGAAAAAATGAAGAACTAAACTGTAGGGCATTTTGCAAGATGAGTCAAAAGTTGACAATGATAGGTAAACTTCAAGGGATTTAGCCAAAGAAAATGATCATGTATGTACACAAAACTTTAACTCCATTCATCTAGTTAAAACAGTAAGAATCTAACATAGTCTAAATGTCCAGCAAATGAAGCATTCAACAAAAATGATAACTATAAAAGCATTCATAATCAGTGAAAATATTTATAACAGATTTAAATTAAAAATGAATTTCAAGCAGGATCTACATATAGCATTCTTATAAATAAAACAGGGTTGCATATAGATGCAGAGAAAAAAACGCTAGAAGAGTAAATGCCAAATCTAAAAAGCTATCACCATTTTTTCTAAGATTATACACAGTTGTTATTTTTTGCTTATCTGAACTTCCTCAAAATGAAGGCATATTATCAATTATTTTTAGTACAGTAGTAGTTTTACAAACAGTAGGCTAATATAATAAACCAGTCAACCACAAATACCCCAAACCCAAGTTTCACCCATTTTCCTTCTTACGGGAGGAACAGCTCTGTCAATAATCGTTCGAAAGATCTCCATCCATTGTGTCATCATTTGGTTACCCATAAGCTGAAGAGGCAATGCATACTGTAAAATAAAAGAATAACATAAGCAATAACTACTCTCCTCTAAAAAATTAGTGATTTTTCCTACATTGTAAAGTCAATATATATGAAAAATCAAGACAACAATTTCATAATGTTCAATCAAGAATTAAGCTTAAAACAGACCCGTAAATTCATATGTATAAATTTTCTAAAGCTGGAAAAAGATTCACTACACTTCACTTGGGGGAAAAGTGGAATTTTTATAGTGATTTCAGGCAATATGTGATGGAAGAGGGCCCTATTAATGGAATGTTTGGCTTGTTTCTCTGGTTTACTTTTTTAAATTAAAAAAAAATTTTTTTAAGCAATATGGTAAGCCTCATTCATTCAGCATGAAATTCTAGATTAAAGATTTTTACCAGTATCCCTTAGGTGTCCAACTTTCCCTTGGATTAAATTCTTTTTTTTAAATCATTTTATTGGGGACTCGTACATTCTTATCATAATCCATACATACATCCATTGTGTCAAGCACATTTGTACACTGGTTGCCATCATCATTCTCAAAGTATTTGTTTTCTTCTTGACCCCTTAATATCAGCTCCTCATTTTTCCCCCTCCCTACCGGATTAAAATCTTTACCTCTTAAAAAGAAGGCTATTCTGAAGCAGGGAACCAATAGAGAGGTCTGAGGGGCCGGTCCCAATCCCAACTATGTGGACAGACACCCCCACCCCCCACCCCGAAGAATTTACTTCAGAGGACAGCACTGAAACTACAGCTCAGGGAGAGGGACATGTCTGATCAGAGCACACAGGAGCAAATGAAGGGGGAGGAAGAGAGAGTAGAGCACATCCTGGCCCACCAAGCAGCCAAAGCACAGAGAAGACCATATGGCCGGTCCCACTACAAGACACGGCTTCCCTCACTGATCCACAGCTCTACAGGGGACATCAGGGGAGACACAGTGTGGGAATTGTGCCTGATCTGACCCCACCACACCCAGGCAAAACACTAAGGGCAACAGAACAGCAAGGCGAGCAGAACAAGGAAGTCCCCAGGGAATACCAAAAACAGACTTTGGGGCCAGGGTGTGGCACCCCATCAGACTTGACCAGAAAACACTCAAGGTCAACAAGCAGACCTTGAACTATTTACAGGCTTTTCTCTTTTTTGTCATTGGTTTTTTGTTGTTATTGTTTTCTTTTGTTGCTTTGTTTTGCTCTGCCTTGTTTTTTGTGCATACTATTATCTCTGCAGGTCTATCTAGGTAAGTGGGATAAACAATCTGGAGGAGAAAACAATGGGACCAACAGTTCCGGGGACATGGGAAAGGGGGTCGTGGGGTAAAAGAAGTGATGTCAACAAACCCAGGGACAAGGGAACAACAAGTGATCTAAAACTAATAGCGAGGAACGTGTAGGAGGCCTCAAATGGAGGCTGGGCATGATAGTGGGACAAGAGGAAAGTAAAAGGAAATAGAGGAACTAGGAGACAAAGGGCATTTATAGAGGTCTCAATACAGGCATGTACATAGGTAAATATATTTATATATGGCGATGGGGAAATAGATCTATGTACATATATTTATAGGTTTAGTATTAAGGTAGCAGACGGACATTGGGCTTCCGCTCAAATACTCCCTCAATGCAAGAACACTTTGTTCTATTAAACTGGCATTAAGATGCTCACCTTCCTGACACAAGCAGGTGCATAAGCAAATGTGGTGAAGAAAGCTGATGGTGTCCAGCTATTAAAAGATATAGCATCTGGGTCTTAAAGGCTTGAATATAAACAAGTGGCCATCTAGCTCAGAAGCAACAAAGCCCACATGGAAGAAGCACGCCAGCCTGTGTGATCACAAGGTGTCGATGGGATCAGGTATCAGGCATCAAAAAAACAAAAAATCATATCATTGTGAATGAAGGGGAGTGCAGAGTGGAGACCTAAAGCCCATTTTTAGGCAACTGGACCTTTACAGAAGGGTCCTGGGGAGGACACAAGCCAATCAGGGTGCAGTGTAGCACCAATGAAACATAAAACTTTCCTCTAGTTCTTTAGTGCTTCCTGCCCCCCACTATCATGATCCCAATTCTCCCTTACAAATCCAGCTAGAACAGAGGATGCACACGGGTACAGATAAGAGCTGGAAACACAGGGAATCCAGGACAGATAAACCCCTCAGGACCAATAATGAGAGTAGCAATACTAGGAGGGGAAGGGGAAGGGGAAGTAGAAAGGGAGAATGGATCACAATTATCTATATATAATCCCCTCCCTGGAGGACAGACAACAGGAAAGTAGATGATGGGAGACATTGGACAGTCTAAGACATGACAAAATAATAATAATTTATAAATTACCAAGGGTTCGTGATGGAGAGGGGAACAGGGAAGGAGGGGGGAAATGAGGAGCTAATACCAAGGGCTCATGTAGAAAGAAAATGTTTTGAGGATGATGATGGCAACAAATGTACAAATGTGCTTGACACAACGGATGGATGGACTGTGATAAGAGTTGTACAAGCCCCAATAAAATGATTTTTTTAAAAAAAGGATGCTATTCATGAGACATTTTTACAGTTACTTTCCCCTACGTTGTGGCATAATACCAGAGCCCAACTTTGAAATGGGTGCCTGCTTCACTGTGAGCTGCCGGACAGGAGGGACCTGCCTCCATTCGTTCCACAGATGTGCTCCACGCTGAAGACAGACCTACTCTCTGCCCTTATGAAGCTTATGCTCCAGTTCCAAAAACAGATAAACAAGGAATCACAATGCGGCATGACAACAATATAGCTAAACGTAGTACAATACTGACAAAACACACAGGCGATCACCTAGTCCAAATCAGGATATAAAGGGAGAACTTCCCAGAAATGGCAATATGCAAGCTGAGACCTGAAGGAAGAGCACAAATTGGCCAGCCTCTAAAGCAGGGCTCCTCAAACTTTTTAAACAGGGGTCAGTTCACTGTCCCTCAGACCTGTTGGAGAGCTGGACTATAGTTTAAAAAAAAAAAAAAACTATGAACAAATTCCTATGCACACTGCACATACCTTATTTTGAAGTGAAAAACAAAATAGGGCAAAAACACCCAGTGGGTCAGATAAATGTTCTCGGAGGACCGCATGTGGCCGTAGTTTGAGGACCCCTGCTCTAAAGGGAAGAAGGGTATTGTAGGCAGAAATACAGTATTTGTAAAAGCTCAGAAGTGAGGCTTGTTCATGAAGCTAGACGAAGTTCAGTTTGACTGGGTTTTTTAGATCACGAGAATTAATAATAGTGGATAATACCTAATACTGACTGAGCACCTTCCACATGTCCGGCAGAAATACAACATCTGAATTTGTCTCTTCCATAGAAACCTACCTGGACAAGTGCATAAAAGATTTTCAGAATCTGCTTCTGCAGTAATACAGAGTAATGCGAGGAATCAGGAAGAAGCTGGATGATTTGCTGTTGAATCCGAGGCAGAAATATCTGCATGGCTGCTATCAGGGGTTCCCTTTCCTCGGCTTTCTTATACCTATATCAGCAAAGACATAGAAAAAGACCGAAAAATCATTTCTTCCCACAAAACAGCAGCAGCAACAGCAATAAAAGCAATAAACGTGGAAATATATGTAAAGTATGTAAAGCCAAAAAAGCATTCAAAATACTAGCTTACATTTTCTGTTAGTATTACCAGACTAAAATCAGAAGAAACTCTGAAAGGGAAATCCCTATTTTAGGCAGAATATCTAAAACTCTTTCTTTAATAATTTAGACTCATTTTAAAAGCATCCCAGACTATTTAGTAGCTCTCCTTAAATTCGTCTTCCATTATACCCACTCCCCACTCCCCACCCCCACAGCAGTTGAAATAGACATTCTTATGATAGAGCATATGATGGGGGCAGGGCTGGGAAGCATTTCTACCTTCACCTAAATGGACTGAGGGCTAAAATACTTTATAAACTTAGGTGCTCTGAGATCACTTTAATTACTACAAATCTAAAATATTCTCTTCAAATTCTGAAAACAGGTTTAGCTTAAAACCAAGAAGACAGGGTTTTATATGTACACATAGCAATCCTCTCAGAAACCAGAAAGCAACACTACTATGACACACACTACCATGATGCCGAATCCTTGACTTGCCAACCAGCTTTCATGGGAAAAGAATATTACTAGCAAAAACACAATGAGCCCTAGTGGCATGGTGGCTAACCACTCAGCTGCTAACCCAGAGGTCAGCATTTCAAACCCACCAGCTGTTCCACAGGAGAAAGATGTGGCAGGCTGCTTCCAAAAACGTTTTCAGTTATAGAAACTTTATTGATCAGTTCTACTCTGTCCTATAGGGTCAGAGCAGGATTCTAACTAAGAGTTAGAATCAACTTGATGGGTTGGTGGGTTGGTTGGTTGGTTGGTTGGTTTGGAAAGGGGTTTTACCAGCCTCCACAATCAAATAGGTCCAAGGGGTGGTTGTGTGATTGAGGGGTCAAATAAAGAGACATCAGACAAGATAAAGCATGCAAATGCTCACCTCTGGGACCACCAGGATTTCAGGAACCAGGTTCCCGCAAAGAGAGAACATATGTCCAACCAAGGCCTATATACACTCGGGGGCATGGCAAGCCCCCCCTAAATACAGGTAACCGCCTATGTAACAAAGTGGGCTGCACCCTAACCGTAAAGTCCTTGAGTACACTGGAGGAGTAACCTAACACCAGTGCCCTGGGGCAGGTAACGGGGAATGGCTGTCTTCAGAGCCTAGAGAGAAATAGCACATGTCTGTTTCTACATTTAAAGCCGCCAGCTACATAGCAATCAGCCATGTGCTTAAGAGGTAACTTTAAGGTAGCACTATTATGGGAGGATATACTGGGGAACAATATTAATTATGAGAATGTGATTGGGACTCACCTCCAAATCACAAGAGTGAAGGCCTCCCTCCACCCCAGAAACCCAGCCTGTCAGGATTCTTAATCTATGAGAATAAAGGATTCATCCATATATACTCTCTTTCTGTTCTCTGCTCCCCACAGTGGGGGCAAGGGAGTTGGTTAGCAGGAAAACATTAACAGTTAATATTTCCTATTTTGCATTCAAAAAGGAGAAAAGTTTACTTAAGAACACGTCTACGAGAGAGTAAACATTAAAATACCTCTATAGCAATGTTTCCAATGAAAGCTGTCAATAAGTGGTCCTCTGAAACTGTCAAATAACTGAGAAGCTCTGCATAGCATTTCACTGTTATTAACAACGCACAGTAGCATACTAAAGGTTCTTTTAATAACTGCAGTAAGTAAACATGTTTAATTGCATGTAACATATTTTCTAAAATAATCCAATTCTATAGTACATCCCAAACAGACTCCACAAGCAATTTACATAGCTGATATATTCAGCTAATATAGAAATCAACTTACTCATACGTCTTCACTAGTTGATACAGACATAATAAACTGCCAAGCCAGCTTCCACTATTCTGTGATTGCAAATAATAATTTATCTTGTCAACTACGGATGGCCAACGACCAGGAAAATCATGCTTAATAATGGCACGGAGACACATTGTTAACTGGACTCTGGGGGGGACAGGAGAAAATGCAAAGCGTTATAGGCATCAGGTTTCAAAGACTTTCTTCTAGCTTACACATAGCCCTCTAAGCCTTTCACACACATTACATAGTCACACATCAGGGATGAGTGAAAAATAAACGCAACTCTTCCGCATCTGTCTTAAGTGGAGAGGAATACATGTGGATTAAGCCTCTGGTGACTCCCCTGACTACAGATCAAGGATGTGAATAGCCTTGCTATGCAGACTGCACTGGAAAGTGGATTACGGCAGAGGAAGTTAGGATAAAATTTAATACCTTACCACATGATCTCCCTTTTTACCCATTTTAAATTTGTTCTACATTTTAATATTTCCTGCTTCTTTTCCATTCAAGTTTTTCTGCTTTACTTTGAACTGGGGGGGGGTGTGTTGTTGTTTTCTTTTTCTGTATGTTTTTCTGTACATGAAATCCAGGAGAGGTGAATCCAGAAAGACAGTAACTGGACTAATGCTTTCTTGGGAGCATAACAGGAGCGGTTGGGGGAAATGAAGAGTGAATAGCAATGTGTACAAGAAAGAAGAAAATGTTCCAAAATGGATTGAGGTGACGATTGTACCATGCTCCTTAATATGATTAGCTATGGAATTGTATGACATGTGAATTATATGACAATAAAACTGTTCGAAATAATTTTAAAGCATCTCCTCTAGAAAAAAACCTCAATCACTCAATTAACTGAAACTAATCCGAATAGATGATTTCCTAGCATGAATGAAACCTTTACCCTGCCTTACCTTAAATACAGCTTCCCAAAGAAACAGTTAAAAATAAATTCATAAAAATTTTCAAAAAATTCTTAAGATAATGTATCTATCTCAGGTCTGTCGAATTTCCCAGCTTATGTTATACTTTAGTTATCCTACCATATGCAGAGCAGGATTTATAAAATTTATATTGTTTCAACTAGACAATCTCAGCCTACGAATGTGAAAGTCAGTGAAACAGAGGCCCACAAAGGAGGGAGACCTGTGTGGTCAAACCTATACATCTCAGTCAACAACCAACCCAAAACACGCTGTCCCTAGCACTGCTCCTGAGGCACTAATTACTGTACTCTGAGTGTAAGAAGTAAGTATTAGACAATTCCTGAAAAAGAAAAATAACAGGAAGACCAAACAGAAAAAAAGGATATCCCTTTAATAAAACTAAAAGTTACATGATAAAAAGATATGATCGCCTAACACTTAGATCATAATTGGGATTGAAAAAAATTGAGAAAAATCATTTCTCTTCAATAAATTATCAATATTATCACCATATATGTCCTGCGGTAATATTGACAAGTGGTTAGAAAATCAATCTAGTTAAATTAGAATTCCACAGTGCAAAAAAAAATGTGTTCAATTGAAAAGCAAGTAACTTGAATTCAGAGAAACTGGTAAAAGAAGCATACGCTAGCTCTCCCTTATGTTGCCAAATGTCTTCAACACTGTTCTCTGCATAACTCAAACGTTGAGTATAGGAAAGAAAATATTTCCCAAAGAATGCAGAAAGTAAACCCTTGAAGACATGAAAGAAAGCAACAAGGAACTTGCATGACAAAGACAGGTCCTCTCTTTGTCATCAGCAACTGTTTACTTAAAAAACAGGTTCTTCTTGAGTACAACAAAAATTCTTCTTTTTTTAACTTCACCTTCAATTTCTCTCTCCAAATCCTTTCTCATTCCAAGAAGGGAGAAGAACCCTAACAAGTACAAGTCATTTAACGACCCATGCGCAGAATCATTCAAAGAGCAAAGGAAAGCTACAAAACAAACGTCCTTTTGGCAAAACTGGAACACGCGATGGCTGGAGGGGTGCCAGTGCCAGGACTGATTTGGGTAACTAATGAGAATAAAGATGATTTTCCTGAATCAGGAAACCGGTCTCTCCTCTTACTTAACAGAAAAACTGCGCAACAAGAGTCCATGTTAGTTCGCCTTCCTGATACCATCTCGCCCACATTTTCCTCCATTCTTACTGCTTATGTCACAAGTCTGTTAGACACTCAGGTTAAAACTCTATCTAGTCTCGGACATGAGATAATTCACATCCACGTCGTTAAAGAATCTATTTCTATTTGACAATCACAAATTTTCATGACTCTACAACTATGCTGTCCAACAGGACAGGCACTAACTACATGCGTACACTCAAATAAAGCAAATTATATTTTCTGCATCTAGTTACACTAGCCACATTTCAAATATCTAAGAGCTACCCAAGGCTAGTGGCTAAATAGTGGGCAGTGTGAACTGAAAATATTTCCATCACTGAAGACCTATTGCGGCTCTATAGCTTCTATGAATTGAGAAGTTAGAGGTGATTCTTCTAGTTCATAGCTGGTCTATCCTGTCTTCTTCAAAGGAAAAGATACTCCGTTCATGACAATGAATAAAAAAACGAGGGGGCTACCAACAGGTCAGGGGAAAAGTGGAATTAAAAAACACTGGCACTTCTTCTACAAACTTCTCTTCACCTAATAGAGGTACAGGGTTAAAAAGAATGGCAAGTTAAAATTCACAGAATTCAACTGTCCTGTATCTGAGAAAAAAACTAAGAAAATCTTGGCCAAAATGCTTGAGACAAAGAATTACAAATACAAAATAAATGAGAGTACTATTTGAGTGCCCATTTTTACAACTTTACATCTTAAAGAACAAAACAAATAAAATGCACCTCACTAAATCTGGAGATCGGATTATCCCTTCCACAATGTTATCACGTATCTGCTGGCGATCATTTTCATGAATGTTGAATGGAAATACTGCTTCCCCTGGTGGAGGCTCTCGGTCTGGCCAATACTGTGTCAGCATGTTCTTCAGGTAAATGGCAGCTAAGAAAGAGGGAAAATAGGCTAACGTAATAGTACCGAAAGGATGGCTTAATTTAGCTTACCAAACAAAGCAAATGGGGAAAGACCTTAATTGTAAATTAAAAATAGCCAAGTAGGAAGGGAAAATAGAAAATAAAGGTTTCTCTAGGGCTAGTGAAGCAAGCTCCAGTATTTAAATGACGGAACAATGGTTTAGGAATCCAGCACATATCCTTTGCCTTAATACAAGGTCTGAATGAAGGCTATTCAATGTACTTTTAGATGATAAGACCCTGGCTTCAAAAGATTCATGAAAAATTCTGTCATTCAATTCCATCTTCCATGCACTTTCTGAAGTCTCCTTTCAATATGCTTAATATGAAGCTCACGGAAATTAATGTAGATTGCTTCTTTACTTCTTTCACCCGCTCTACTTGGCTCTACCGTTTTGAAAAAGAAAATATATACTTTAAGCGTCAGTAATCTGTTTAACCTTTTTTGAAATATTTAATACTTGTAAATGTAATTATAGGGAGGACATTAGCCTTCAAATACTGCCAGGAAATGTTTTTAACTTTTTTACTTATCAGAATATATGCTCAATGGTTTTGTTCCTATTCTTTTTTTTTCTTTTTTTTTAATATGGAACAACACTACACGAATTTGCGTGTCATCCTGTGCAGGGGCCATGCTAATTTTCTCTGTGTCGTTCCAATTATAGTACATGTGCTGCCGAAGCGAGCACTGTTCCTATTCTTGTTAATCATTTTCAACTTCATCAAAAGGCCTCAGAAAGAAACAAGCGGACACACTAGGACCACCAGGTCTTTCAGAGGGAACGTGAAGCTGCCTAACCATCCAGTCGGGCACAGAATGTAAGCAAAGAACTTCTAGATAATGTAACGAGTTGGCATATCAGGATATAGAGATGTGATCCCCAAAGCAGCATAACTTTCTTCCCTCAAGCTTCTCCCCGGCCCCTCCCTTCTTGCCTAAATCTCTCTGCCTTCAATCCTCTTTACCTCTTTACAACTAAATTGGCTGGTTAAAAGATTACACTACCGAAAAAACAGTAAGTTCGATATTGGCTATAATTATACCACAATAGAAATTTAATTAATGTATGAAATTGGCATCCTATAAAATCCTCTTATTTTTTAATCACCTAAGATCTGGAAAAAGACATTCTACCTAAGGTTTCAATGTGTTTAGAGGGAAAAAAAAGTTATTTTAAGATTTTTTTTGTGTTTACATTAGTTTGGTTTGCTCTTTTATTTTACTTTTAATTTAAACCACATAGACTTAAGACCAAGTACTGGCTTTTATCTCCCAGTCCTGTTATATTTTAGGTAACAGTGACATGAAATATTCAATAAAAACATGCAAACTGTTAAAAACTTAACATATAATTTAAGAATATAGGCAAACCTGTTAGCAGTTCAGAACTATTGAACAGAATTAATCTTTGCAAAAAGAAAAACAAAAATCAAACTACATCTTATACAAGAAATGCTCATTTAGAACTAGTTTTATAAAGAAAAGCAGCCTTCAGAAAGTAAAAATCAAAGTAAGATCATAAACTCACTTATGATCCAGTAATTAAATCAATGAAATTAATAACTAAAAATATTTATGTTATGGGGCACTATGCAAGACAGCCTATATAAAAAGCATATTTGCATTATACATTTAAGTAGATCTATATTTAGTTAAAAATGAAATTAAACTTAATGTAATAAATTAACTAATATTAATAATGAAATGGAGCCCTGACAGCACAGTGGTTAAATGCAGCACTGCTAACAGAAGGGTTGGCAGTTCAAACCCACCAGCTGCTCTGTAGGAGAACTATGTGGCAGTGTTCTTCTATAAAGATTACAGTCTGCAACAATGACTGTGGCCGCAACAATGGGCTCAAGCATAACAGTGTTTGTGAGGAGGTGCAGGACCAGGCACTGTTTTGTTCTGTTGTACATAGGGACACTGAGTCAAAACCAATTTGACAGCACACAGCAGCAACAATTTGCTAAAGCTGAGAAACAAAACTCTAATATCATCTTTATCCAATTCATAGATATAAAGCATTAAGTTTTGCTTTCCTACATAATCAAATACACTCACCACTTTAAGCATCATAAGTTTTAATTTTCTAAAAGATACACTTTTCTCCTTTTTTAAGCACAACAAATTATTTGAAAGCCAAAAACAGAGGTGCACATAGGTACTTGGACATTAATGTTCATCATAACATGGCTCACAATCTCCAAGAGCTGCCAACAACACAAACGCCCAGGAACAGTTGGATGAAGAAATAAAATGTGGTTACCTACGTATCATGGAATATTACACAGCCATAAAGAGAAATGGAAGTTCTTATACATGCTATGATATGGATGAATCTTGAAAGCATTATACTTAGTGAAATAATCCAAACAAAAAAAGGACAAATATTGTAAGATCTCACTTACATAAACTATCTAGAATAAGCAAATTAATAAATACTGAAGTTTATTAGGTGTTATCAGAGAGACTATTTTGCTGGTGCTGGCAAAATTGGGTCTTCATCAACAGAAGAATGAAACAGGACCCATACCTCACCCCATATATAAAGACAAACTCAAGATGGATCAAAACTCTGAATGTATACAGGAAATAGATCTCCAGTGAACTCCCTCTACCCACAATTGAGGGACAGGAAGAAAGTGGTCATTAAATGGAGTGCACTGATATGTTGAGTATAGAAGTTCAAAGGCAGAAGCCTGACTTGAACAGTTAAAACTTGTCAGATTCCCCTAGGATGCATGCTGGACCTGATCTGGTTACCAAACTCTTATGTTTTGTGGGGTTGCATTGTTTTGTTTGGTTTGTGATTGTACGTATTATGGGATATCTCAGGAGTGTTAAGTCATTGGGGTCACCCTCTTGAGGTTGCGGTATATATTTTTTCACTTTTGGTGTATGAAAACCAGGACTGATGAACCTAGAGTCAGCAAATGGAATAAGGTTTTGGAGGGACACGGGGGACGTGGCAGGATGAAGGGGTGATGACGTCAAGGGGTCTGTTAGTCTGGGTAGACTAGAGAAACAAACTGATGGACACTCATATATGTGTAATAGAGAACTTAACATCAGAGAGTAATTGTACATTAAGAAAACATGCCAGCCCAGTCCAGGTTAACTCCATAAAACTGATATTAGTCCATATGTCTGTTACCAGTCTATCAATCCTTCTTCAGACTCACTCAACACATGCAATGACACCGAATGCAGGAGGAAAGATCACAGGCCAGTATGTGGAAAGTCTTGTGGATCCAGTGGTGGTGGAAGCAGCTCAATGCTGGCAGGGGTCTCCACATGGCTCCTCCAACTCCAGGAGTTTAGTGTAGTTCCATGTGTCTTTTCAACAGTAATGTCTTCCAGGGAGAGTGTGTATCTGACCTCCAATGAGCTATTTATCTCCATATGTGCCTCCCAAAATGAGGTTATCGAGCTGCGACCTGATTTACAGGCTAGACTCCACCCCTTCATAAGTTGACAGGAGATTATGTAACTGCCATTCGGTCCATATAGAAAAAGGATGTTTGGAAACTGTGGTAGCAAATGTACAATTCTACTGGACGTGACTGAAATATGGAAAGATTTGGTATATGTATTAAGCCCAATTAATAAAACAAGTCTAACTATAAATCTCAGGGCTATAAAGATTATCAATGAGAAATAGGGAGCAGCTTAATGGCCCTATTGCAAGCCATAGACACATCATCAAAAATAAAGAAGCGCACATATTAGGAGACCAAATAGATGAGTGGGACCTACTAAAAATAAGACACTTACGTGCAACAAAAGACCATCAAAAGACAATTAAAAAGAGAATGCACAGAGTGGGGAAATTAATCTTGGCAATGGCACAACAGACAGGGACTAATCTAAAAATCTATAGAAAACTGCAATACCTCAATAAAATGAAGAACTCAACTTAAAAATGAACAAAAGACATGAACAGACAGTTCACCAAAAATGACACCCAACTGCATAATAAACATATGATCCTAAGAATCATCGTGATCATTAGAATAGGCAAATGTATAGACAGAAATAGATCAGTAGGTCCCAGGGGCTGGGGAAAAGTAGAATGGGAAATTATTGCTTAATGGCACAAAGTTTCTATTTGGGGTGATGTAAAAGTTTTGGTATTAGATGGATGCACAACAATGTGAATCTCATTAATGTCATGAGTTAAACATTTTTTTAAATGTATAATGGTAAAGCTGGTTATATATATATTTTACAATAAAATCTTTCAAAAAGGTAATTACCTAAGTTTTAAACATGAACAGAGTTGATGAGAATATGGAAAAATCTAGCACTCTAATGCACTGTTAATAAAGTAAAACAAAATAAAAAAATGAGAATTTAAAATTCTAAATGTTAATACCATTAATGTCCACTGACACAGCATTTCCATCACTCATCAGTGACCCTATGAAAACATTCCCACAAGGACCTGGAGACACATGTCCAGTAACACGCATTTAGCCTCTATTAAGATCAACAAGTGAGACTTAAAAGCACATGACATTTGTACACCAAAAAGACATTGACAGTTATTGTAAAGAAAGAGCTATCTATATGTACACTGATCTGGAATAAACCCCCAAAATACAGTTAAATAAAAAAAGGAAACTGCAAAATAATATGAAGAAACCTCAAAAAGCTCATGGAAAAGTGGAATTAAAAAATAAACACATTTTTGTTTGTTTTGCTAACATTTATGGTGAATTGGGTGAACGTTTACATTCCAGAAAATTTTGAATTCAACAATTTAAACTACTTATCAAACCTCCCCATAGATTGCCTTGTCACACCCATGCCCAATTTCTCTCCTCCCTCTCGTACATCCAATTAATACCTAGCTATCATTAGCCTCACCTAGGGTTTGGCAAACTGTGGCTCTCGAGCCCTATGGGGTTTTTTGGGTACATAAATATGGCTCTGCAGTAAAATGTAAGTAAAAGTATCATAGTTTCATTTATAATATTACTTAAAATTTTTAATTATTTCCTTATTTGTAAAAATATATTTATGACTCACGAATAATTTTTAACTTTTTGTGAGGGACAGGCTTGGCTCTCCTGTCTCAAAAGTTTGCAGCCCCCTGGTCTGGCCTATTGTCTCACCTCCCCGCCCCTCTGGCTTCCTCCCACCACCACCCTCTGCCATCCTGGTAACCATCAAAGTTTGTTTCTTTTGGCATGAAAACCTTTGTCTTACAGTAATGGAAGTTTTCCCATGAACTTTTTGAAGCCCCCTCTTATATGCTATAAATATACTTTTAAAGACAGCATGTGTACAGAAAACAAAGACTTAAAGAACTACACACTAAAGTCAATGGCAATTATTTGGGAGTAAGATTAGGAGCAATTTAATGTAAAAATTCAATATTATATACTGATTATATTTCATGGAATTAAGATATTAATTTAATATTTTGTTATTTTTAATTATTTTTCTAAAATTCAAAGAAACCTTATAACGACCCTGTAAATGCTTGCATAATATTTTTTTGTTGCAAAAAATAGTTTCAGAATTAAAAAAAAACAAAACTTACTGCCACAGAGTTTATGCCAATTCATACAGCAACAAGACAGGGTAGAACTGCCCCTATGAGTTTTTGAGACTAACTCTTTTCAGGAATAGAAAGCCCCTTCTTTCTTTTTTTTAAATCATTTTATTGGGGGCTCATAC